TCAGCTTTGATGCCAGTGCTGGAAGTTGTGCAAAGCTCTGTACAGTGGAGAGCTGTCTCACAGAGCCCAGTGCGGGACTTGGCCATCCCAAGGCACCCAAACTGAGCCTACAGAGGGGCTCTGGTTCCTGGCACCTGTCTTCCTGTGCTGGTGGCAGAGGTTGGAGGACCAGCAGACAAAAACAACTTGAAGAATTTTTAGCCGTTGCTCTCTGAGGCCCTGGTGCAAAATGTTTTAGCCCAGGATAAGTGAAAGGATTTTAGCTTTCGCTTCGTGGCATCTTCTATGCCCACAGGCAGAGCCAGCTGGTGGGGCAGTGCGATTTCACCACCTCTCATCTCTCAGCTGTGCCACAGGCTTAAATGTGGCTCGGTGTGGAGGTGAGACCAACACAGCCCTCACCTGGAGGGATTTACCAAAAGGGATTTGTCTCCCAATTGAAGCCATCTTTCCTCGCTTTCTAAAATAAATAGCTGAGTGAGCTTGGGGCTTAAAGTAAACAGAGACCAAGATGTTACCAAGTGCAAATGACTAAAGGCTAGAAGAAGAGAAAACGTTGTTCTAGAAATCTCTGGCATGGTGCGGGACACACGGCACCATTTTCAGAAGAGAGGGGAAGTGCAAGTGATGGTCACTGTTTAAACGACAATGAAAGGAAAAGGTGGAAGTTACTATTTTGTGCCTGAGCACTTTCAGGGACCGTGTGCCACCATGGCAAGGGAACTGTGCAGTTCTCATACTGCAGTGCTCTGGCATCTCAGCAGTAAACTGCTTTTTGGTTCCTTGCACTGCTAGCTAGCTGAAAAAGTTGTGAGTGATGAGCACGCAGTGTATGTCTCCCTTCAAGAAAAAACGTTCATTCAGCTTTTATTATTCCTTTAAATTTCCCTTTCTCCTAATAGGATCAGTAAGGATAAGAAAACAGCTGAATAAATGAGAGTCTCTTAGTCAGTCGTTTGTCCCAGAACTAGTTTGTTCAGAGTATGGTTACTTGCTATTAAAATCCTCTGCACTGAGGAGTGCAATATGCATTATGCATTATCATATTGTCCCCATCACACAACAGCGTTTAGCATGCCCTGTTAACAGACTGAAGTTTCCTGGGGGACCTCCTGGTGTACCATAGGCAAGCCAAATTGCAGACTGTGTAATCCCTTGAATTCGCAGGATGTGTGTACCCTTGTAAGCTTTTGGACCTTCTGTTTTCTGTGGAAGCCAGTCACCCAGGGTTATGAGAGTGGGCTCTGGATGCAAGTGGAAAAATCTATGTGGCCACAGCTGAGTTTCCAGCATGGCAGCAGAAAGGAGAGTGCCGTGGGACTGCAGTTCTCGGCAGGGAAGAGGCAGCAGCCCTGTGGTGCACAGGCAGTCACAGGCAAGTAAAGGGGGAGAAGAGAGAGCCTGCAGCCATGCTGCAGCATGCCCTGCCCTGCCCTGCCCTGCACTGAGGTGGCTGAGGGTTTTTGCTAGGATCTGATCTGAAAAAGCAAAGTGCAGATATAGTGATGTATTTGTCTTGAGGATGAAAGTCTAAGTCAGGCTTCCCAGAGCAGAATCCTTGGTTGTTCTGGGGCAGTTCTCAGTATACTTTGTTGGGATGGAGGGAAAGGCAAGTTTTTCTCCTCTTTGGCTGTTTTCTGCCAATTGGAGACCAAATGTTGTGACCACTGGCAAAGCTCAGGATATATCTCATAGCTGCTCTAAACTGCACAAGTTGGCAGCCAGCTCTGGGGGCTGCTCAGCTGCCAGGGTGTGCCAGGACACAGAGCTGTCTGCCTGCTTTCCTCTCCTCCCTGAAGCCCCATAGCTGGGAGGTTCCATGGGCAGGTTCCCCCCAAGCAGTGCCCGGTCCAGCCCGGCACAGTCTCGCAGAAAGCACAGGCCACTGCTGCAGAACGGGCACTTGAGTCAGAAAGGATCATTGCCAAGAGGAAAGGAGTATGTTAAGTATGACATTTAGCTTCTAGCCTTTCACTAAAGGTGATGTAACAGCTGTGACAGATAAGGTTATTTTATAACCTAAATATTAAAAAGAAAGTGCTTCAGATGTAGAAGGAAACAAATGCAGCAGAGAGACAGAATGGGTAAATAGCAACACACACTGATAAAAGTTGCATGTCAGTTTAGTTTTTTCTGCACTGTGTCACTCCATGGATCCTCTCTGAAGGAGTTGTATTGTGAATTAATAAAGGCAGGAAATTCCTTCTATTCCTCCTCATTGCCCTCAGCTGTGCTTCTTTATATGACGTCTGATTTTATAACTGTTGTCAATGAAAACCATACAGTAGCTCCCATTGTAAAAAAATTAAAATCAGATATCTGTCTTTGACTCAGTAAATCAGGGCATTCTCCTCACGCTGTAATGATGTACATTTGAATTTGTATCCCATAACAGCTCTTTCAAAGTGGAGCTTTGCAACCCCAAGCTCAAAAGATGGGAAGAATTATCCATACAGGTTCATTTCTTTGGCACGTTCCTTCAAATATTCTAATTTGTTTGGGGTTTTTTTTATAAGAAAGTTGTGCAGAAGACCCTAATCTGTTGCACGGACAGTTATTTGTTCTCCCACCACAATGGAAAATTTTGCTCCTCACCATGGGCAGGTATCATTTTCTCACAGTACTGCAAAAAGATTTGTTAGTTTAGTTCATTTCTCAAACTTATCTTCCTAATGTCAGTATTGAACTGTTATTTTTCTGTCAAAAAAATAAAAACTACTCAAATGTGGAAAAATACACCCCCAAGCTGCTAGACAAAAAGGTTGAGAGTATAGGAATGTTGTAATCTTTGCCTCTATGATGTCACATTATCCTGAGGAACAGAGGCAACATAATTCAATTTATACCCATCACAGATTGTGCAATGTAATCACAAAACAATCAGATTGATGGTACCATATAAATGATGGTTTGGGTTTTTTTCTACAAATAGGTCTCAAATACCACACAAAAGTCACTATGACTATTTAGTTTCAACAGATGCAACAGTTTAGCCATGATTATTAGCCATTTTGTCCATTGCCACCAGAGGAGTGTATAAGCTCTACTGCTCTCATGTACGCAATCTTCTATATTTTTTAAACAATGTTTGTCATCAGAAAGGAGCCAATTCCATTAAATATCACCTGTTTCCAGCCTCTTTACTGGGCAGAAGAGTCTCCTCTTTGGATTACAGTGGAAAACAGCACATGCAAGTAGATAAAAAAAAAATCCCTGTAGCCAGGTCTCTTGCTCAAAATCTGAAGGCACGAAATAACTATTTCCCCCTTTAGGGAAAAGAGAGTCCTTCTGATTTGGCTGTTCAGCTCCCTGGAAGAGCTGTGGTCTCCCCACTTTGCAGGTGAAGGAGGGCTTCTCCTTCTCTTTTGCCACCACACATTTGCAATGCACCTCTGCATCAATTCCCCCGGTGTAACAGGGACCAGAGGATAAATCCATGCAGTTCCTCAGAGCAGATCCCGTGATTTGCTTCCCCCAGGGCATCAGATGTGGCATCCAAGTGACCAGCTGTGCAGCCAGGTCCATGGGATCATTGCACCCAGGCAGCACAAGGGGTGTGTGCCCCTCTGCATTGTCCCTGCTCACACCTTGAGAGGTCACATCTCCCACCAAACCATGCACAAAGCAGATGCACAGGAGTGTGCAGGGGGCCCTGACATTTGGGTTGTTGGTTACCCCCTGTGCCACCTAGAAAAGAGTGGAGGGACATCCTTCCTGGATCTCCTTCTCTGGGGCTACCCACCGTGAAGGACATCACAGCCACAGGGAAAGTCTGCTCAGACTTGTGGTGGGTATTCTAGTATTGGCCTCAGCAGCATCCTTATGGAAGGTCTTGGAACTCTCTGCACAGCTGGGGTGGCACAGAAGGAGCTAAGTGGTAATCGTGGTGAGTGAGGCCTTATCATTTTGCAAGAAAAGTTTGCAAAAAACCAGCTTGTACTTTGCTAAGGCTCCAAACATTAGTGAACTCAATATTTTGTTTTTTAAAAACGTTGCTAACCCAGCCTGTTAGGGCTATTCCCTTGCCGTTGTTTAGATTTCTTGTATCTTCTATGTTGACTAAAATGGATTCAGAAAAGGTTGCAAGAGTTTTCTATATTTTTTCAAGAAGAAATGGTGATTTTTCTGTCTTTCTCATGCTCAAAAATAACTGAATGCTTTTGGGGTCAGAGCTCAGGCATGGCAAATTTCAGAAGCATGCAAAACAACTTACAAAGGAGGCTGCAGTAAAAGCTGCTAGACCTAACAATAACCTGTAGACCCTGAGGTTAGGAGACCCTCGCTAATTTACAGAACCTCTCAGAAAGAGAAAGGGAAAACCAGCGTCCATCTCTGTCACTGCTTCCTGCTCTCAGACTTACCGAGGATTTGATGGGGGAAAGAGGGAGGGGAAAAGAGGGCAAGTTAGTTATTGACAGCTATCTTTTTCCTGCTGTGCCAACAGTCTCTATATGTAGGGCATGCAGCTGTAGCCCATGCTTTAAGTGAGTGCTAGTGCCCTGACACTGCCAGGCTGCTGGCGCATCCTGCACAGGTGGCACACCTGGTCATGTTGCCCTTCTGCCTTCTGTACCTCAAGTTCATTTTTGAGAGAATCATTGGGCAATCCTGAGCACAACAGTGTCCCTGGACACGGTTGGTCTGTAGATTTCCCTTTTGTTCTGGCCTAGATCACTTGAAAGTGGAGGTCTGGACCTTTTGAGTTTGCTTATTTAGAGAGGCCACACAGCAGATGCACATGGCACAGATGCAACTCACAATACAGCAAGACAATACAGTTATCAGCAAAGGACATGGGGGAATAATACTTCTGTTTTGATGCATGTTTCCTTTTTTTTGCAATGAGTGTGCTGTTAATACCGCCATCACCAGAACTTTTGTTGTTGTTGTTGCTTAGATCAAATAGGACAGGGACGGCGGCGAGGAGCTGCTGTTGTTCTGGCTGCTGCTGTGTGAGATGAACTGATGAATAACGTGTGTGATTTCTCTTTCCCTTGTAGTTGCACTCTGCAGTGACCAGGATCCAAGTTCAAAGACCTGGTTTCAATTACACGTTTGCCCATATATGTATCCTGAACAATGACAAGACATGCATAGTGGACGACATAGTGCATGTACTGGAGGAATTAAAGGCTGCTCGTTCTTCTAATCGAACTAATTTTGCAATCACTTATCCGATTACTCACTTAAAGGATGGCAGGGAAGTGTATAACGGGCATCAGCTCGGTGGGGTTACTGTGCACAGCAAGGACCGGGTGAAGTCTGCAGAAGCCATTCAGCTCACCTACTACTTGCAGGCAATCAACTCCTTGAATGACATGGTGGCAGAGAAGTGGGAATCCATTTTTTGTGACACTGTTGAACTTTTCCAGAAATCCAACAGGAAAGTCAAAATGTATCCTTTCACTTCTTCTTCGCTGAAGGAGGATTTCCAGAAGACGAGCAGGGTGTCAGAACGCTACCTGATCACAAGCTTGGTCCTTGTGGTCACCTTGGCCATTCTCTGCTGCTCCATGCAGGATTGTGTCCGCAGCAAACCCTGGCTTGGCCTGCTGGGATTGCTGACTGTGACCCTTGCCACCCTGACTGCAGCTGGGATCATCAATCTCACTGGTGGGAAATACAATTCCACCTTCCTTGGAATTCCCTTCGTCATGTTAGGTAACTATCTCCTATCTCCTCTCTCTCTTTTGTGTGTTTGTGCCTACCTGACATTTCCCAGCAAGCAGAGAAGCATCACTGCATGGTTCCCGTTGCCTCATCCCTGCAGCGCTGCCCCATGCCAAATCCACACTGCCTCTGTTCCTAAACTGTTTTTACAGTGTCGGGATGTTAAAATCACGCCAGAGGCTCCGGTATGGCATAGCACCCTGCCGTAGGATGTGAAGCCTGTGCAGTAGCAAGGAACAAGGATATGTGAATGCCATGCTTTGTGCAGAGCGGGAGCACAGCTGCTGTTCTCTGTGGATGTTTGATTCTGGTTTCAGAGGCAGACCTTTGCAGGGGTCCCCGTGCAACACTGACAGTGTCAGCTGTGCTGGCAAACCAGAGGGACTGCCCACATTGGGCCTTTAGAGAGTGCTGGCTCCTTCAGAGAGCAGAGCGGTGCTGTCCTGGCTTCACAGGCACCTGTCTGTGGGAAAAGGGTGGTGGTTGGTTCTGGGTTGCTTTTCTCCGGAAGTCCCTGTGTTGGCTGAGCAAGCGTAGGGAGGGTTTCACAGCCCTGAGGGAGAGAGCTTTGACACCCCTGGTCAGGAACGGGTGTCAGTGCCAGCACATCCCATGACCGAGGGTTATGGAGGGAAGCAGTGTTGGCTACTCCCTGGCTCTTGTGTCAGCAGAGGCATCCTCACCACCCTGGCTTTGGTATTACCTTCACTCACTGTGGAGTACGGAGTGGTTTCAGTTTGTTTTGTTTTCTTCAAGGGTAGGAAAAGGAGGAGAGAAGGGTGATCTTGCTCCCGACTTGAAGTCAGTGCCCTCTCCTGTTGGGACCAGGGCATTTGTGGGGATGCTGCATATTGCACCCAAACAGGCAGGACTTCACGGGAGACAAAATGAGAGCTCTGGAGAGTTCACAGCCTCTTTGTTTGTGTTTGGTTCATAACCAGTGTGAAAAGCTCTGTGCGCTGTAGGTGTTTAATATGTCCTTGTTCATGCCATTATTCATTTGTGGAGAATAATGCATGCATTGATTTCATCACAGCTTCCCCAGCTGAAAATCAGTGCTCAGTAATACTTCAGATTTCAAGTGTGAGAGTGTCTCCACTGACTTAGTTACGTTGTGTAGTGATATGACACAGTTATTTTTATATCCAGCACCAGGTTCCTATGCCGTGGAGGTATTGTAGTACTGTTGCACCGTGGTATTGTTGCACTTTAATTAAAGACTATGCTTCAGTGCATCACACTACCAGTTAATGTAGAGAATATATTCAGTGACAGAGAGAATTCAGCTACATTACATGAACTCTCATTTTCAGATGACATCCATGAAAGTTAAGTTATATTGCAATCTAGAGAAAATGCAGCATGAGAAAATCAGAGTCAAAAGAAGGGTATTTCTCTGACATGAGTCTTTGGTTTCTTATGCCTGTGCATGTATTATAAAATTCAGTTCTTCAAACCAAGCAGTGTATCTTACGTGTAACATTAGATGGGAGGGGATTTCCAGATATGTTACAAGAGTAGCAGAAAAGCAGTCTAAAGTCCAGCCATATGAAATGAAAGTACATGGGGAAAATTACTCAAAAATATGAAATATTACCTTTGTTTAGGGATCAAAGCATCTGCTCACTGGGACAGCTTTTCAGATCTTTAATTTACTAACAATGACGGTGCTGAGACTTGAAATCCTCAGAGACTTATAGATAACTGTGAAAAGTTTCTCATTTCTATTTTAGTACTCCTTTAAGTGCTGAGCTGTATAGCCAGCTCTGCTTTTCTTTTCCTTTTTTTTTTTCTCTTTTTTTTTTTTTTGGTCTTGCTTCGTTGAAGTATTCCACTCTTAAAAGGGCATCTCAGCTCTCACTGTGAAACAAGTCAAGATAGAGCAGCCAAGTTCAGGTGAATCTTGTTTGCTTCCCCAGCTGCATAAAATCTCCCAAGGGATGGGAATATCAACAGGTGAACAGAAGGCACTGAAGGCATTTTGGAGTTTTTAATGAGAACTGTTTTAAACTGGCAGATAGCTAGAAAGGCGGGGTTGCCTTCTTTTTGTTGCTGCAGTACAGCAGAAAGATTCGTCATGCGTTTCAAAATGTATTTCATACCTATATGTTGTTTCGCTTATAAAAGATATTTTAACTCAAGGTAACTGAAGGCTAGAGACACTAACCACACTCCATTATAGCCTGCTCAACTGCTTCCATTTAGTTTCAGTGACCATCAGATTAGATCATAGATTAACTGACCTTTAGAAAGCTAAAGGATTTCTGGCTAACGATGTAGCCCTCTATCTATTACTCATAATCTCAGGGCTAAAAACAAAAATTAGATAGAAAAAATGATTACACTGGACACATTTCAGGCAAGGCCCCTTTACTGGCATACATCATTAATGAAGTTTTCCCAGTTTATAGCAGCTGAGGATTTTTAACTTTTCATCAGCATTGCGGAGGTGGAGGGACACTCTCCAGACACCATCTGCCCTCTGACACAGGACAAGATTACATCTTTCATAACAGATACTTTTCTCCATGCACTTTGTCTTCTCCTGTGACTGCTTCCTCCTGTGTTTCACTGCACTACCGCTACAGCATTTGCATCATGTCTAACCTGAATTCCCCTTTTGCAACTCAGCTGTCCTCCTTATTTATCCACTGCGTCTGGAGAATAATTTCTTTTCTTTTTCTTTGCAAATTTGGGACCACTCTCACTTGCCCAGTCCTCTTCCATTTCATCCCAGGTTTCCTCAGACTGTGCTAACCAGACTTCCAGCAATCTTCTTGCTTTTGGCCATTCCACATCTTCCATGTGGAGTGTGGGGCCTAAATCTAGGCACAGGATTCAGGCTGAGGCTTTCAGCAGCAAGTAGAGTAGGAGGATGATTTTGCACATCTTGCATGTGGCACCGCTGTTCATACATCGCCATATGACGTTCATTTTTTTTCTCAGCAGTATGAAATGGTTGGCATTTGGTTGGTGGCACATGGTAATTCACAGATCCTTCATGTCATTTTCTACCCTGTTTTCACAGTCATTTATTCCAAACAACATGTAGAAGTTTGCCCTTGTCCTTGCTGAATTATAGCTTGTTTATCTCACACCGTTTCTCCTCCTCACCGAGTTTATCTGGAGACTATCATTGCCCTTCCAAGATGTATTAACTGAAGTTGGTCAGCAATGTTTTGCAATTATCGACTTTTTCATATTTTCAGTAATTACTTTCTGAATAGTTCGTCCAGTCACAAGCCCATTCTAATAATATAGGCATTATGTCTGCAAAAACGTCCAGTCAAGGTGCTTTCCTTCATCCTGTTTTCTGTGACATCCCTTCTACATCAGCCATTTCCAAGAACAAAAAAGCTGTAGTGAAAGGTACCAGCCTCTGTAGATGTTGAATTCTTAACTTTTGCATCAACAGGACAATTTAAAATTATTGAATAGCCATGACTTACCAAATTGCAGTCTTAAGCTCAGGCTGTGTAAGTGTAGTCAGGAATATGTTTTGCCTACCCTGCCTGTTAAATATGACATAACAGTTTACACACTTCATGCTTTGGTTTTAATCACCTTCATGGTAGTTTATTCTAATTTACTTTACTTTTTAATTAAGGCAGGTAACCCAGCTCACAAAAGGTGTCTCTACATAGTCTGAGTATGTCACTACTGTGATGATTTTTATGTTGTGGCAGGTTTCTTTGTCCCCCTCACTGGTTGCTAACTGAGTGGAAAAAATTAGAAGCCAGGAAAGATGTTGCCAGAGACCTCCTTCCCCAGTAGGCACCAAAAGAGTAAAGGTCCCCTTTGGTGACTGGAGGTTGAGCTGTGAGAGCCAGGCAGGAGGCAATACCTGGGACTGACCTGAGCCCCCACCAAGGGGCTGTGCCGGGAGCGAGGTAGCAGAGGAGGGCAGGCTGGCTGCAGCCACTGTTTTCTCTGGGGATATTTTGTCAAGTCAAACTAGGAACTGTTAGTCCTCAGCTCTGGATTTATACAGGTATTTCTAACATGAAAGTGAAGCCTAAAACCTGGAAAATTGGCAGGCTCCCACCATTTTTCTGGACTTACTTTGAATTAGTATATGCCTCCGTGGTTTTTTAAAACTACCATCTACATTTATCAGTGTGTAAACAAGTAATTTAAGGACAAGTTTACTCACATGTCTAGTTCATGAATAGGAATACTTTGTTGACCTAGGGCTATTCATTTTTGACCCTATGGACCAAAAAAATAAATTCTACAACTTGGTTGAATTTAAAATAGCAGATTATTAATGTCAGCTGAAAAACAGAATTAAAATTCTGATTTCCTGTTGCCTGCTTCATTAAAAACTACAGATGTTTGGTCTGGCACAGATGCTAACATATTCATCATAAGTTTCCCTTACGCATTAAACACTGTTTAATAACTGCCAGTTTTTTAAAAATACCAGTTTCCTGAAAAAAAACCACAGTGTTACCAAACAAACCATTGAACAACAAGCAGCACTGTCTGAACAAGTTTTTGGCGTGACTTTTTTTTTCCCTGGAGGTGGAGTGGAACATAGGCACTCAAAAGAAAATTGCAGCATAGCCTTTTGCACTGAAGAGAAAACTAGCAATGTGTTTCCTATTCCTTCAGAAACAAATACAGCTTATTCAGGGAGAAGTGGCTCTCTTCAGCTGCCAAGTTCGTGAAAAGCATCGGCTCTCTGAAATCGCAGTGGAATGCCAGGCGCTGCCTGATATGGGCAGGGACACAGGGCCAGCTCCATGAGCTTATATTTAGCCTCCGATGCTGGCAGGGGAAAACCAGGTAGAAGTTATGAGAGTGGCTTGAGCTTGTAGCATGCTGTAAAAGGAAATGATAGCCAGCCCTGTGTGAAACTCAGCAAAACTTCTTGCCACCTCCTTGCGTCCTCCCATCACGTCCCACCCTGGCAGCATGCCCTCTCTGGGAAGAGAGGAAGCGAAGGCAGTCAACAGAGAGGTCCAGGGAGGGATGACTGGGAAGGAGCA